CCCCCTACTCTCCCACTCCCCCCACTTCAACAGTCAGGAAGAAACAACACACACCTGACCAAGCGAAAACACTCACACAATCTGACCCTAGGGGCCAGAAGCGTACCTTTGAAGAGGATGGAACAGAGGAACGCCAAGCCCCACTGGAGGAAATACACGAGGAGGAGCCAGCACGCTCAACCCCGCGCCCTACCCCCCGCTGCCCATCCCGTCTACCCCCCCTTCAGGTGACAGCGGGGGCGGCACCCATGCATGCTCAGTAGAGAGATCCTCCAACTCACTCGCTACCTCCCATTCGCAAACCAGATTACTTGTGAAAACACTTAATCCTACCCGCACCCCAAGCACATAGAAGCGGGAGAGGGCAGAGCCAGGGGGGAACTTGCAGCTGACACTGCACGGGAAGGGGTAAGTGAGTTTGTGTGTGAAGGAGCAGCAGAGGCTCAGAGGATGGGGCAGCAAAGGCTGCACGGGAAGGGGCAATGGGGGTTGTGGGGGAAGGGGCAGCAGAGGCTGCAGAGGAAAGGGCAGCAGAGGCTGCAGGGAAGGGGCAGCAGCGGCTGCACGGGAAAGGGCGGCAGGGGCTGCACGGGAAGGGGCGGCAGGGACCGTGACTCTGGCCAGGCAAAGGGCAGAGGCCATGGAGACAGGTTTTGCAGGAGTAGGGGCCACGGAACCTGCTGCTGTGTCGGCTGGGGGAACCGCAGCAGAGGAGGCTATAGGGACCGCACCAGGTGAGGCCGCACAGACCACAGCAGGTGTGGCTGCAGGGATCACAACGGGTGAGGCTGCAGGAGGGACCATGGCAGGTGAGGCCGCAGGGAGCGCAGTAGGTGAGGCTGCGGGGAGCGCAGCAGGTGAGGCTGTAGGGGCGCAGCAGGTGAGGCTGCAGAGAGCGCAGCAGGTGAGGCCGCAGGGAGCGCAGCAAGCGAGGCTGCAGGGAGCGCAGCAGGCGAGGCTGCAGGGAGCGCAGCAGGCGGGACTGCAGGGGCCACAGCAGGTGAGGCTGCGGCGGACGCAGCAGGTGAGGCTGCGAGGGCTGCATCATGTAAGGTTGGGCAGACTCTAGCAGGTGAGGCTGCACAGTCTACAGCTGGTGAGGTCGCATGGACTGCAACAGGTGAGGCCGCAGGGACTGCAGCAGGTGAGGCTGCAGGGACCACAGCGGATGAGGCTGCAGGCGGGACCATGGCAGGTGAGGCCGCAGGGAGCGCAGCAGGTGAGGCTGAAATAGCCGCAGCAGGTGAGGCTGCAGAGGCCGCAGCATGTGAGGTTGAGCAGATTCTAGCAAGTGAGGCTGCACAGACTGCAGCAGGTGAAGGCCGCATGGACTGCAGCAGGTGAGGCTGCAGGACTGCAGCAGCGTGAGCCTGCAGGGACCCGCGGCAGGCAAGGCTGCAGGGATCGCGGCTGGTGAGGCTGAAGCAGATTACGGTAGGCGAGGTTTTACAGACTGCAGCAGTCGAGGCTGCAAGGACTGCAGCAGGAGCGAACAGAGGCCACAGTGGGGGCTGGTACAGGGGGAGGTGCTACGGGTGCAGCGGGGAAGGGGGTAACGGGGACTGGCTGCGAGGGAGAGTGCCGCCCCGGCTGTAAGCAAGAGAGGGTACGGCAGGGGCTAGAGTGGGAGAAGGGACAGCAGTGGCCTCAAAGGCAGAAGGTGAGACTGCAGCTGAAGCAGCAGGGAGGGCCATAGCACGGCCAGTAGGGGCGGCAGGGGCCGCAGCAAACGCGGGGAAACACACAGCAGGGCCAGCAGGGCCGGCAGAGACTGCAAAAGGGGCTAGCAGTAAAGCGGCAGCAGGCGGGGTGGGCTCGGGGGACATAGGGGCAACAGGGGAAGGGAGAGGTGAGTGTGGGTCCCGACCGGGGTGGGCACTGAAGAGGGGGATGTGATAGCGATAGAGGAGGATGAGGGAGAGGATGTGATGCACATTGACGGGCCACTGGCCCAATACCTCACGCTTGACGGTGAGGCCGACCCGGCTCCCCCTGCAGCCTCACGTCGAGTTCCCCCTCTACCCCCCATGCCCGTCCCCATGCTAGCAGAAGGACCGATGGAGGGGCTGGGGGAGACCTTGAGGACAGAGCCGCGCGAGGGAGCCCCCATCCTCACCTCCCGTCCTCCAGCCCACCCACCCCCAGGAGCACCACTTCCCCACCCCCACCCCTCAGGTCCCGGTAGTGTCCAGGGGGGCAGCCAAGGCCCTGGCCTTCTTGGCGGAGCCGTGCTCCCCGACCCCCACGCTGCTCCATGGCCAGCTCCCCTCTCCGTCCCCAACGCCTGACCCCACGGTTGCAGGCGGTCCACCGGGAGAGCACGCGGGTGCGACAAGAGCAGAGCCACCCGAGGGCACCCCTTCTCTCACCCCTCACCCTCCCCGCCCCTTCCCTCACTCCTTCCTTCACCCCCAAGGGCAGCACACCTCTGCCCCCACCCTCAGGGGCTCCTTAGAGCACCACGTGGAGCAGCCAGGGCTCTGGTCTTCCTAGAGGAGCCATGCTCCCCGACTCCTACCAACACCCAGCCACCCCCTACCGGCCCACTACCCCCCTCCTCCACCAGGCCCCCCCCCACCCGGTAGTACACACATCTCGGAGGTTGAAGCATCTCTGCGGCCAAATCCCTCTCCCACACGCTACAGGCACCCAAACACCCGAGTCGCCGCACAGCCCCAACACGCCCACCCAACAGGCTGCCCTCCCCACACCACCCCCCCCAGGCAGCCGAGACCCACCCGCAAGGGCTTGCGCCCCAGGCTCATGGGAGCGGCGGCACCCGGGTAGAGGGGCCCACAGGAGAGGCCACCACAGGGCCCACACAAATCTCTCTCCCCCCACCGTTTGTACCTCGCTCTAACCTCCACACTGGCCCAGCCCCTCGACCCCCACCTCCAACCCCCTCTCCCGGCCGGGTTCCCCACGAGTGGCCCCGTTGGGCAGCCATCACCCCCCACACACAGCTTGCCCGATCTGTTTCCCACGGAGGGGGATGTTTCGAGGAGAGAGGGGATGCACACAGAGCACCCCCCGCCTGGCGAACCACCCATCCTCCCTCCACCCACCCCTTTGGCCCCACAGCCCCCCCTTCCTTCACAAACAGGCGCGGACAACCAGGTTGGCCGCCGGCGGAAGAACAGGGGCAGAGGGTCAGCCCACGTACTCCCCCCTCCCTCCCTCCCCACCAAGAGCCCCTCCCTACCTCACATCCCGTTGAACCCTTACCAGGCCCCTACCTCTACAGCCCGACCACCAAACCTACACTCCCGCCCCGCTCCTGCACCTCCACAGGGCCATGGGAGCGGTCCAGCCCACTCACCCCCATTCTGCCCCTCCCGTGCTGTGTCCCCCTCCCAGGTGGCGGCGGCCGCGATCGCTACTGGGAGGGAGGGCCGTCGGGTTGAGGGATGCGCCCATGGCAGACGCCACCGACTCCCCCTCCCATCCCTCCCACCCCTTCCATGTCGACGACCCCCTACCGCAACCCATGGTGATTGGGGAGGGCCAAGGGGGCCTTCTAGGGCAGGGTCCACACCCGAGCTCCGCTCAGCCAGCACGCCCCACTCCACCCTCTACCCTGCCAGCCCTCCTACTCTCACCTACAGGCAGGCAGGTCTTCGAGACCCCAGAGGAGGTGAGGGCTGGCATTTCAGATTTGCTGGCGATACACCGCCTGAGCAGCTCTCCGGCTGCCCCCACCCTTCCAGTCCCACAGGACCGGACCCGGACGTATGCGGAGGTCACCCGGTCTGTCCCTTCTTTATCCCCCCCGCCACTCAGCTAGGCGCGTCACTCCCGACCCCAATGGAGACGGACCGGGTTCTGAGGCCGTGTCACTCGCACCTAGACGGGGTGGCGCCTCCCCCCGTTCAGCCCGTGGCGCAGGAGGTCACCAGCAGTAGGGATGAGGCATCCGCCCCTACCGAGACCCCTCCGCCTGGGGTAGCAGAGCCGTCACTTGAACCGCACCCCGCCGAGGGGCAGGAGCACACCACGGCACACACTTCAGGCTCACCTCCACGTCCCCCCTCCCCAGCTTCGACACCGTACCGGCACGAGGCCCGGCCCTATCCTGTGCGACACCACCTCTATCTTCGCTGACACCCCCCCCGCGCGGGCTGGTGAGCCGTCTCCTCCCCTCATCCCAGGCGATCCTCTCGGAGCTCAGGCCGCCCACGGGGTCCCCTCTACAGCCAGTTCCGACGCCACGGCCCCGATTGACCCCGCCGACACGGCGACATCACCCGACCAGGTCGTGAGTTTGCCCCACTGCAGGAGCTCTCTCGCGAACCGACGCGCGCTCCAGCACCACATTCCCTTCTGCCATCCTGCGGACGCGGCTCGCAGGGCGCAGGCTGCCCATGATACCGCCTCGATCATCCCTTCCCTCTCACAGCCCCGTGCGACCGGGATGCAGTTCACCGACGCACAGTGGCAGACGCTCGACTCGGTGGACTGGACAGAGTACTTCTCGCCCGGAGCGTATCCATACACGCCCTCTCCGACGTGTCCCGGAGAGGGTCCGCGGAGGATATCTTGACGTCCTCAGTGCGATCCTAGTCCGCATTGCCCAGGACCCGGAGGCTGCTGGCCCTACCTTCCTCCTCGCTGCAGCGCCGACTCTTTTCCTTGTTCCAGCGACGCCACCCGACCGCTCGCACACGGCTGCCATTGCAGCGCGCATCTCCCGCTTTGGTCGAGGTGAGTGGGCTGAGCTAGTCTCAGATGCACTAGGCCGTCGCACACCCCTTCCTCGGCGCACAGGTCACCGGTCACGCACCGCCACCGATCCCTCTACAGCAGATGAGCGCCGCATTGCACGTTGCCTTCGTCTGGCAGCGTGCAATGAGACCTCACGGGCGTGGCGCGGCTCTCGAGTCCGCGGAGGCAGCCCCAGATACACAGGGGACGATACAGCGCCTGCAGTCGAAGCACCCCAACGCGGAGAGGCCGACCCCAGCTTGGCTGTCTGGCTTCCAGGGGTCCCCTCTTGTGCTCTCGGTGGATCACTTACGCCGCGCGATTTTCACAGCTCCGCGGGGCTCTTCGGGAGGACCGTCCGGTTGGGTCGCTGAGCACCTGCGAGACACTTTCTTAGCTTTCCCTCAGAGTCTCCATTTCCTCCTGGCCGTGTACCAGCAGTGGCTCCGAGGCCGTTGCGCTCCAGCTGCACGCTCCTTGCTAGCGTCTTCCACCCTCGTGGCTCTGGCGAAGTCGAACATGGATGTTCGGCCGATTGCCATCGGCGAGGTTTTGGTCCGCATTCTTTCTCGTGCAGTCTGTCTCCAGCTACGTGACCAGATGGCGAGGGTCTTCTTGGCGTCACAGCAGTTTGGGGTGGGGGTTATGTGCGGGACAGAGGTCGTAGTTAGAGGCGTCCGCCGCGCCCTGGCTGACCACCCAGACTGGGTGGTCCTGCAGCTAGACGTGGCGAATGCCTTTAACTCTTTCCACCGAGACAGGATGTTCCAGGCGCTGCAGGCCAGCCCGGAGTTTCAGTGTCTGATCCCCTTCATCGGCCTCTTCTACGGGACGCCCTCGGATCTCCACTACAGGTCAGGCACGGGAGTGGTCACGATGCACTCGGAGCGGGGCACTCGCCAGGGAGACCCTCTCAGCCCCTTCTTGTACGCTCTGACACAGCGTCTTGCTTTGGAGCCGGTTCTGGCGGAGGGGGATGTCCAGCTCTGGTCGTACGCCGATGACACGTACGTGCTAGGTCCCCCAGACAGGGTGCTGCACCACTTTGCCGAGATCGTGAGGCGCTTGGGCGAGATGGGCCTTGCAGCCCAGCCGCACAAGTGCCTCGTCTACCAGACGGAGTCCTTTCTGTCCAGGGATCTGGAGGCTTTCACGGGCCTAGGGATCGAGGTCGCACGCCGAGGGCTCACCGTGACAGGCGTACCGGTAGGCACCGTTTCGTTCGTGGAGCAGAGTCTCCCGGATCGTCTCGAGAGGATGGGGCGGGTGCTACCTTGGCTTCCGAGGTTGCGCCAGCCCCAGACAGCTGCCCGCCTCCTTTCGGCGTGTGTCAGCACTCGTCCGCAGTACCTGTCGAGGACCGTCCCTCCTTCGCCCGCAGTGATCTCCAGTTTTACACGGTGGGACGCACGCCTGGGAGAGACATTTCAGCAGCTTTTAGCTTCAGGGACCTGGGCTTGTCGCGAGGACGTCCGAGAGGCCGCCCTAGACCAGATCTTCCTCCCCATCCGTCTCGGGGGTTTCGGCATTCGTCGCATGGCGCGCATTGCCCCGGTGAGTTTCGTGTGCTCCTGGGTGCAGTGTGCACCCATTCTCTGTTCTCTCCCTGCGTGTGGCGAGGTGTTTCGGCAGAGCTTCGCTTCAGGTGAGCCAGAGCAGATCGACCGGGCTCTGCAGACGGCGCTAGAGGGTCTCCCACCTGACGTTCTCTCTCTCCTTCCCCCCTGGCCCTCTTGCGCTTCTGCCTCCCCCGATTCCCTTTTTGCAGGAGCGAGCCGTCTTCTGGAGGCGCATGCCTTGGAGGCCGTGCGTGCCCGTCACGCCTCTCCCTTGCACCTTGCCCGTTTGACTTCCCTTCAGGGCGGAGGTGCAGGGGCGTGGTTGACGTCGGTGCCGTACGCCGACCCACTGCGCATCCCGGAGGCGCTGTGGCAGGCGGCTTCATCTTCTCGTCTTGGTCTCCCTATCCCCCAGTTAGCCCTTGCAGGTCAGTGCTCCTGCGGACAGGCGATTGACGACATGACGGTGCCTCATCACGCGGTTCGGTGCCCGCGCTACGGGGTCGCCACTACCATCCACGACACGGTGAAGTACATGCTTCGAGACTTTGCGGTCGAGGCGGGCTTCGCGGTAAAGGTGGAGGACTCTACGCTGTTCACACAGTTGGAGGCGGCTCGAGCGAGACTACTGGGACAGCCAGTGGTGGGAGAGGGGACACGGGCTGAGGGACCGGGGGAGCGGAGAGGCGAGGCGGGACAGCCGGGTGGCGGGGGACAGTGGGGACGGCACCAGCTGCGGGGTCAGGTGGAGCGAGGGACAGGTGGGCAGAGGGGACGGCAGGGGGAGCAGACGGGCCAGGACGGGGAGGGGGGACGGCACAGGCAGCAGCAGGAGAGCCAGTGGAGGCCGCGGGCCCAGGGCGCCGCGCCTCCAGGTTCGGCCTCGGGGGCGGGGCAGGGGCGGGAGCAGCAGAGAGCGGACGGAGGTACAGGAGGGGCAGCGGGATTGGGAGGGGAGGGCCAGGGAGTGAGAGAGGCAGCAGGGGATGGAGCAGGGGGGTCGGGAGGTTTGGGGAGGGTAGAGAGGGGGAGGGGAGAGGACAGGTGGATGGAGGAGAGGAGAGGGGGAGAGAGACGATCGGAGAGGGGGCACCAAGGGACCAGACAGGGCAGCAGCCAGCGCAACAGCAGGGACCAGTCGGACGCACAGGCCGTGTAGGCACTGCCTCCCGCATTCCAGATCTCACCTGCCGCGACGTTGGCCAGGGTCTGATGGTTCTTGTGGATGTCTCCATAGCGGATCCACAGCGGGAGGGGAACGTGCAGCTGAGACGGGCGACCCCCACACAGATTGGAGTGGCAGCAGCTAGGCGGGTGCAGGAGAAGCTGCGTCACTGGGGGCCGCACTTAGAGGGGCTGCAGCCGGCACCACACTTTTACGCGTGCGTGGCGGAGACCTTTGGCCTTCTGAGTGAGCCGATGCGTCAGTTTCTGGGGCTCTGCGCAAAGAGGATAGCACAGCGGAGGAGGGATAGAGGTGGGGGGATGACGGATCGGCACGGATATTTGAGGCAGGACTCACTACACGCCTCTCCGTTGCACTGCAGCGCGCGCAGGCTCAATGCATGATCCAGCATGCGGTGCGGCAGTTAGGGAGGTCCGACGACGGGTGGATGCCCGCACCAGTCCCACTGGGTGCGGGGCAGGGAACTTGGCACCACGTCACAGGGTGCTTCGAGAGTGTGGCTGATATGCAGTATATATATGATGCATATGTGTAAAAAAAAACAATAGTGGCTGTGCTTGAAACGCTGTGCCCGTGCGGTCGTGCGGGTTGCTGCCGTGTTTGGTCCTTTGGTGCTTCCTCCTCCTTAGTCTCTCTCCCTCTCTCCTCTTCTCTTCCCACCTCCCTCTTTCTGTTCCCTTCTTCTATCCTTCCCTTCTCTTCCTACCACCCTCTTCCTTTCCCTACCACTTCTTCTTACTCCTTCATCTTTCCTTCCTTTCCTTTCTTTCCCCCTTTTCCTACAAATATATATACCGTCCTCATAGCGATTAGGCTATGTCGAAATTTCCTAGTCTTGGAAAAACCATTATATTCGGCTTGTATTTGCTCTTCCCTTATTAATGAATAACTGCTCTCGCCCACCGGCGCTTAGCTTCGGAGTTCTGATGGGATCCGGCGTAGTAGCCGAGGTATGATCGTACCACGTCAACCCCGTGCCCCGACCGGTACACACCCCTTGCCCGGGTCCCCCCTCATAGTCACACCCCCTGCCCCCTCATGCCATCCGCTCCCCCCGCCCCTACCCTCCGCGTGCCCGCTCCCTTGCCGCCTCTTTTGACCCTCCCTGCCCCCCTCGCCGTTTCCCACCGCCCGCCATTCGCTCCTCCCCGCCCGTGCGCTCCCCTCGCTTACCTTCTCCTCCCCCCTCCCCTCCTCTGCTGCACGCCTCTTCCTTCCCCTCGCCGACCCACTCCACTCCCTGCCCCTCCTCAATCCGCACCCTGCCCCTCGTATCTCGCCCCCCTATGCTTGGTTTCTCCCCTCCCTGCCCCTCGCCGCCTTTCTCCGCCCCCCACCTCCCCCCTCTCCCTGCCCCCCCACTCTCCCCCCCTTGCCCTTGGCTTCCTACCTCCCTGCCCCACCTTTCCCCCCTCTGTGTGCTCAGCTTCTCCCCTCCCTGCCCCTCCCTCCTCCCCGCCCTGCCCCTCGTTTTCCGCCCCCCCACAGCCCGGTTTCTCCCCTCCCCGCGCCTCCCTTTCTTTCTCCGTGCCTCTCCTTTGCTCCCTCCCTGCCCCCGCCCTGCCCATGCCCCTGTCTTTGGCTTCTCCCCTCCCTGCCCCACGTTTCTTCCCTCCCTGCCCACCCCCTCTGCCCCTCCCTTGTTTTCCCCTCACCCATTGCTTCTCCCTCCCTGCCCTTGATTTCCCGCACCCCTGCCCTTGTTTCCTACCATCCATGCCCCTCGTTTCCCCCCCTTTGTACGTTCAGCCTCTTCCCTCCCTGCCCCTCCCTTCCTCCCCCCCTGCCCTTTGCTCTCCCCTCGTTACGCTCCCTTCTCCCCATCCCTGCTGCCCTCTTACCACCATCAGCCCATCCCCACCACCAGCCCCCCTCCCACCCTTCTCTCCCCCCCCTCCCTTTCCCTCTCTCTCTTTCTCACACACACACACGCACACTCCCCTCCCCCCACCCCCCACCCACATCCTCCCATTCTGCCCCTCCCTGCCCCTTTCCCACCCCCTCGCACGCCCCTCACCTCCCACCTCCGTGCAACTGGTTTCCCCCCTATGGTGCCTCCCTTGCATCGCTCGCCCCTCTGCTCACCCTCTGCCCGCCCCTTTTCCGTGCCCCCAGCTGGCCCAGCCCCTGCCCGTTGCTGCCCCTCCCCTTGCCCCCCTCAACTCCCCTGCCCCCCGTACACCCCAGTCCCATCCAACCGCCCCCACCCTCCCCCGGCTGCCCGTTTCCGCTCTCCACCCCCTGCGACCGTGCGCGGCTTCCAACCGCCCAACGGTGGTGCGCACGGGGCGTTTCTTCGCACGGGCAAGCCTCCCCGGGGGCCCCCCACCCCGCTGGGTCGTTGTTCGGGGCAAAAAAACGAAAATAGAAAAATCGGACGCGCTGAAATCGTCCTTTCTTTTTCCCGCTTGCCCCTCCCCGGCACGTGCCGAGCAAGGGGCATAAATGGGTACAACACGAGGACTTCCCGGGAGGTCACCCAGCCCAGTACTGCTCTCGCCCACCGGCGCTCTTACCTTGACCTAGCTTACCTAGCCATGGCTGCCTACTAAGGAGCCTCCCAAACCTACTATTTCGAGTTGCTTAAGGACAAAGTGATTGTGATAGTTGTTTATGTTATAGTTATAAGCGTTTCCAACGGTTAGTTTTCTAGTTTCGACTGTCGAGTTCGACGGGACGGGGGTCGCGAGTTTCGCGCGCGACCCTCAGGAGTCTCGGAAACGGAACTCGCGGGGTGTTACGGAACCGCTCGTTCGACCCCGCCATCGCGGGAAGGCTGCGGACGCGCTGCAGCCGGTGTAACGGAGGTGGGGCGTTGACGCGAAGTTCGCCCGCGGAGTGTAACAGCGCGCGCGACTCACAACCACAACTCCGCCAGACACGGTGTTCCCGCCCATCCCCTCTCTCGACACTCTCCCTTATCCCCCCGCTCTTTTCTGCCCACGGCTTTTCTATTCGAAGCGATTAGCTACTACCGATTTTCTTCCCACGGTTTCCCTCTCTCGAAGTCACTGAGCTTAGCTTCCGCCCGTAGTTAGCATTCTTCCTTCCCTTTCAGTGCGCCCTTCTTTATCGAAACCCTAATTCGAAGAGCCGCGCGTTTTCAAGCACGCTTTCTCGTCGCCTGTCATGTTTAGTCACGCACTCATTTTCCCCGCCCGTTCAATCTAGCCGCGACGTAGACAGAACCGCGCACGGGGCGCTTACCGCCAGGGAAAGGCAGCGCGGAGGGAGGCGAAATTGCTACGTTCGTAGCGATTAAGCAGCCCTCCCCTTGCGCGCCTCCCGAAGCGCGTTTTCTGCCTAGAGCGTTTTAGCCGCCCACGTTGGCACACAGGCTGCCCCACTCCCCCTTTGCTCACTCCCACCCTGCCATGCCTCGTCGCGCACTCGTGCATGCCACCCACACGTCGTAATCTTACCCCGTCGCCACCCACATATTCACCTTCCTGCTCACACCGCCCCTTTCCCCCTCACACGCGCGCTTTAGCCACCCCGCCACCTAACCTCTTTCCCTAACGGCGCTTAGCTAGCAGAGGCCGCCCTGTCTCTGGAAACCGTAGGAAATAAGGGGAAACAACTTCAAAGAAAAAAAAAAATATTCATATAAATCGGAAAAAAACCAGAAAAAAATCAGAAAGGCAGCTTACACTTTGTTCTCCCAACCCTCCAGGGCCCCATCCAGTCCGCCACCCCCCCATTCTGTTTCATCATACTGCACCACACCCTCCCCTTTCGCCCACCAGCATTACCGCCCCTTTCCCCTTATCCCCACCACGCCCCCAAGCAGGCTTTTCTCCCCCCAGCCTCCCGTCTCCCTGCCCTTAGTACCGCCGCGCTCTGCCCGTGCGTCACCCTTGCCCACTTCATACCACCTCCCCCTTCTCCCCCCCCCCCGGCTTCTCCCTATCATCACCCGCATGTTCCCCCACTCCCCTGTCCACAACGTCCCTCCTCCACCCCCCCTCCTGCCTTCCCCACTCCCACTCTGCCCCCCACACCTCTACGAGCCGTACTTCCCCCTCCAGCCTCCCTTTCCCCCCCAGCTACTTCCGCATCCAGCGTGGGCTGCACCTCTGCATCCCGCCCTGCCAGGCCCTTCGGTGACCCAACTGCCGCCACCTGGCACCACGCCGCCTTTCCCACCCCCATCCAATCTCTACACCCCCTGCCCCTGCTCCCTGCGCAATCCAGCCACCTACCCCAGCCTCCCTCTACCTCTCCCTAACTCCACACCGCCGTTCCTACCCCCAGCCAAGGTCTACACCCCTTGCTTTTGCTCCCTGGGCTGTGCCGTCCCCAACCTCCCTCCGCCTTTCCGCGGCACCAGACCGCCTCTCCCTCCCCCAGCCAACCTTTGCACCCCTGTTCCTGCCCCTTGTGCCCTCCAACACCCTACCTCAACCCCCCCCAGTCTCCCCCTTCTCCAACACCCTCCATATTTCCTCCCCCCTGGGGCTCGCCCATCCGCAGTTATCACCCTTCATCGTTTCCCCAATTCCCTCTGTCCCCTGTTTCCCGGCCCCGCATCCTATTCTGCATTTACCACAGCGCCTCCTTTCGGTGCCCTCTCTGCCCTCCCACGTTCTCACCCCCCGCCTCCCAACCTTCTCATTACCCGCTACCAGGCTCACGCCAACTCGACTACCCACTACCCTTTGCCCCTTCCTCTCTGTTCCCCACCCTTCCTTTCCCACTTGGCTCCACCTGCCCACCCCCACCTCCCGTGGAATTCTGCCCTGCCCTCCCCACCTCCGGCCCACCACCTGTCCCCACACCCTGCTCACCCACCGCTACATCACCCCCGCCCCCCCACCTCCACTACAGCCCGCCAACACTTCCCCTCTCAACCGGCCCCCAGCCCGCCCCCCCCTTGGGCCCCAATCCCCTCCAACTGTCAGGCCCCCTCTACCCTCTCTTCCACCCACTGCGCACCGCTTTCCCCACCCTTTTCCCCTTTCCCCAAGCTAACCCCCCGCACCCCGGCCTCTGCCAGGGAGTTCCTTCCCCCTTTGACGCCCTCTTGAGCCAACTCCAGCAACTCACACCGCCACCGCCAGGCATGCTGCCTCTGTAACAATGCCCCAGCACCCCGCGAGTGGGGGAAAGGCAGACCCGGGAGCCCCTCGGCGATCTGGGAGGTCCCGCAGCCGAGCCACCCCCTACTCTCCCACTCCCCCCACTTCAACAGTCAGGAAGAAACAACATACACCTGACCAAGCGAAAACACTCACACAATCTGACCCTAGGGGCCAGAAGCGTACCTTTGAAGAGGATGGAACAGAGGAACGCCAAGCCCCACTGGAGGAAATACACGAGGAGGAGCCAGCACGCTCAAAACCGCGCCCTACCCCCGCTGCCCCATCCCAGCCTACCCCCCCTTCAGGTGACAGCGGGGGCGGCACCCATGCATGCTCAGTAGAGAGATCCTCCAACTCACTCGCTACCTCCCATTCGCAAACCAGATTACTTGTGAAAACACTTAATCCTACCCGCACCCCCAAGCACATAGAAGCGGGAGAGGGCAGAGCCAGGGGGGAACTTGCAGCTGACACTGCACGGGAAGGGGTAAGTGAGTTTGTGTGTGAAGGAGCAGCAGAGGCTGCAGAGGATGGGGCAGCAAAGGCTGCACGGGAAGGGGCAATGGGGGTTGTGGGGGAAGGGGCAGCAGAGGCTGCAGAGGAAAGGGCAGCAGAGGCTGCAAGGGAAGGGGCAGCAGCGGCTGCACGGGAAAGGGCGGCAGGGGCTGCACGGGAAGGGGCGGCAGGGACCGTGACTCTGGCCAGGCAAAGGGCAGAGGCCATGGAGACAGGTTTTGCAGGAGTAGGGGCCACGGAACCTGCTGCTGTGTCGGCTGGGGGAACCGCAGCAGAGGAGGCTATAGGGACCGCACCAGGTGAGGCCGCACAGACCACAGCAGGTGTGGCTGCAGGGATCACAACGGGTGAGGCTGCAGGAGGGACCATGGCAGGTGAGGCCGCAGGGAGCGCAGTAGGTGAGGCTGCAGGGAGCGCAGCAGGTGAGGCTGTAGGGGGCGCAGCAGGTGAGGCTGCAGAGAGCGCAGCAGGTGAGGCCGCAGGGAGCGCAGCAGGCGGGACTGCAGGGGCCGCAGCAGGTGAGACTGCGGCGGACGCAGCAGGTGAGGCTGCGAGGGCTGCATCATGTAAGGTTGGGCAGGACTCTAGCAGGTGAGGCTGCACAGTCTACAGCTGGTGAGGTCGCAGGGACTGCAACAGGTGAGGCCGCAGGGACTGCAGCAGGTGAGGCGGCAGAGACCACAGCGGATGAGGCTGCAGGCGGGACCATGGCAGGTGAGGCCGCAGGGAGCGCAGCAGGTGAGGCTGAAATAGCCGCAGCAGGTGAGGCTGCAGAGGCCGCAGCATGTGAGGTTGAGCAGATTCTAGCAGGTGAGGCTGCACAAACTGCAGCAGGTGAGGCCGCAGGGACTGCAGCGGGTGAGGCTGCAAGGACTGCAGCACGTGAGCCTGCAGGGACCGCGGCAGGCAAGGCTGCAGGGATCGCGGCTGGTGAGGCTGAGCAGATTACGGTAGGCGAGGTTTTACAGACTGCAGCAGTCGAGGCTGCAAGGACTGCAGCAGGAGCGACAGAGGCCACAGTGGGGGCTGGTATAGGGGGAGGGTGCTACGGGTGCAGCGGGGAAGGGGGTAACGGGGACTGGTGCGAGGGAGAGTGCCGCCCCGGCTGTAGCAAGAGAGGGTACGGCAGGGGCTAGAGTGGGAGAGGGGACAGCAGTGGCCTCAAAGGCAGAAGGTGAGGCTGCAGCTGAAGCAGCAGGGAGGGCCATAGCACGGCCAGTAGGGGCGGCAGGGGCCGCAGCAAACGCGGGGAAACACACAGCAGGGCCGGCAGGGCCGGCAGAGACTGCAAAAGGGGCTAGCAGTAAAGCGGCAGCAGGCGGGGTGGGCTCGGGGGACATAGGGGCAACAGGGGAAGGAGAGGTGAGTGTGGTCCCGACCGGGGTGGGCACTGAAGAGGGGGATGTGATAGCGATAGAGGAGGATGAGGGAGAGGATGTGATGCACATTGACGGGCCACTGGCCCAATACCTCACGCTTGACGGTGAGGCCGACCCGGCCCCCCTGCAGCCTCACGTCGAGATTCCCCCTCTACCCCCCATGCCCGTCCCCATGCTAGCAGAAGGACCGATGGAGGGGCTGGGGGAGACCTTGAGGACAGAGCCGCGCGAGGGAGCCCCCATCCTCACCTCCCGTCCTCCAGCCCACCCACCCCCAGGAGCACCACTTCCCCACCCCCACCCTCAGGTCCCGGTAGTGTCCAGGGGGGCAGCCAAGGCCCTGGCCTTCTTGGCGGAGCCAGGCTCCCCGACCCCCACGCTGCTCCATGGCCAGCTCCCCTCTCCGTCCCCAACGCCTGACCCCACGGTTGCAGGCGGTCCACCGGGAGAGCACGCGGGTGCGACAAGAGCAGAGCCACCCGAGGGCACCCCTTCTCTCACCCCTCACCCCTCCCCGCCCCTTCCCTCACTCCTTCCTTCACCCCCAAGGGCAGCACACCTCTGCCCCCACCCTCAGGGGCTCCTTAGAGCACCACGTGGAGCAGCCAGGGCTCTGGTCTTCCTAGAGGAGCCATGCTCCCCGACTCCTACCAACACCCAGCCACCCCCTACCGGCCCACTACCCCCTCCTCCACCAGGCCCCCCCCCCACCCGGTAGTACACACATCTCGGAGGTTGAAGCATCTCTGCGGCCAAATCCCTCTCCCACACGCTACAGGCACCCAAACCACCCGAGTCGCCGCACAGCCCCAACACGCCCACCCAACAGGCTGCCCTCCCCACACCACCCCCCCCAGGCAGCCGAGACCCACCCGCAAGGGCTTGCGCCCCAGGCTCATGGGAGCGGCGGCACCCGGGTAGAGGGGCCCACAGGAGAGGCCACCACAGGGCCCACACAAATCTCTCTCCCCCCACCGTTTGTACCTCGCTCTAACCTCCACACTGGCCCGACCCCTCGACCCCCACCTCCAACCCCCTCTCCCGGCCGGGTTCCCCACGAGTGGCCCCGTTGGGCAGCCATCACCCCCCACACACAGCTTGCCCGATCTGTTCCCACGGAGGGGGATGTTTCGAGGAGAGAGGGGATGCAAACAGAGCACCCCCCGCCTGGCGAACCACCCATCCTCCCTCCACCCACCCCTTTGGCCCCACAGCCCCCCCTTCCTTCACAAACAGGCGCGGACAACCAGGTTGGCCGCCGGCGGAAGAACAGGGGCAGAGGGTCAGCCCACGTACTCCCCCCCTCCCTCCCTCCCCCACCAAGAGCCCCTCCCTACCTCACATCCCGTTGAACCCTTACCAGGCCCTACCTCTACAGCCCGACCACCAAACCTACACTCCCGCCCCGCTCCTGCACCTCCACAGGGCCATGGGAGCGGTCCAGCCCACTCACCCCCATTCTGCCCCTCCCCGTGCTGTGTCCCCCCTCCCAGGTGGCGGCGGCCGCGATCGCTACTGGGAGGGAGGCCGTCGGGTTGAGGGATGCGCCCATGGCAGACGCCACCGACTCCCCCTCCCATCCCTCCCACCCCTTCCATGTCGACGACCCCCTACCGCAACCCATGGTGATTGGGGAGGGCCAAGGGGGCCTTCTAGGGCAGGGTCCACACCCGAGCTCCGCTCAGCCAGCACGCCCCACTCCACCCTCTACCCTGCCAGCCCTCCTACTCTCACCTACAGGCAGGCAGGTCTTCGAGACCCCAGAGGAGGTGAGGGCTGGCATTTCAGATTTGCTGGCGATACACCGCCTGAGCAGCTCTCCGGCTGCCCCCACCCTTCCAGTCCCACAGGACCGGACCCGGACGTATGCGGAGGTCACCCGGTCTGTCCCTTCTTTTATCCCCCCCGCCACTCAGCTAGGCGCGTCACTCCCGACCCCAATGGAGACGGACCGGGTTCTGAGGCCGTGTCACTCGCACCTAGACGGGGTGGCGCCTCCCCCCGTTCAGCCCGTGGCGCAGGAGGTCACCAGCAGTAGGGATGAGGCATCCGCCCCTACCGAGACCCCTCCGCCTGGGGTAGCAGAGCCGTCACTTGAACCGCACCCCGCCGAGGGGCAGGAGCACACCACGGCACACACTTCAGGCTCACCTCCACGTCCCCCCTCCCCAGCTTCGACACCGGTACCGGCACGAGGCCCGGCCCTATCCTGTGCGACACCACCTCTATCTTCGCTGACACCCCCCCCGCGCGGGGCTGGTGAGCCGTCTCCTCCCCTCATCCCAGGCGATCCTCTCGGAGCTCAGGCCGCCCACGGGGTCCCCTCTACAGCCAGTTCCGACGCCACGGCCCCGATTGACCCCGCCGACACGGCGACATCACCCGACCAGGTCGTGAGTTGCCCCACCTGCAGGAGCTCTCTCGCGAACCGACGCGCGCTCCAGCACCACATTCCCTTCTGCCATCCTGCGGACGCGGCTCGCAGGGCGCAGGCTGCCCATGATACCGCCTCGATCATCCCTTCCCTCTCACAGCCCCGTGCGACCGGGATGCAGTTCACCGACGCACAGTGGCAGACGCTCGACTCGGTGGACTGGACAGAGTACTTCTCGCCCGAGCGTATCCATACACGCCCTCTCCGACGTGTCCCGGAGAGGGTCCGCGGAGGATATCTTGACGTCCTCAGTGCGATCCTAGTCCGCATTGCCCAGGACCCGGAGGCTGCTGGCCCTACCTTCCTCCTCGCTGCAGCGCCGACTCTTTTCCTTGTTCCAGCGACGCCACCCGACCGCTCGCACACGGCTGCCATTGCAGCGCGCATCTCCCGCTTTGGTCGAGGTGAGTGGGCTGAGCTAGTCTCAGATGCACTAGGCCGTCGCACACCCCTTCCTCGGCGCACAGGTCACCGGTCACGCACCGCCACCGATCCCTCTACAGCAGATGAGCGCCGCATTGCACGTTGCCTTCGTCTGGCAGCGTGCAATGAGACCTCACGGGCGTGCGCGGCTCTCGAGTCCGCGGAGGCAGCCCCAGATACACAGGGGACGATACAGCGCCTGCAGTCGAAGCACCCCAACGCGGAGAGGCCGACCCCAGCTTGGCTGTCTGGCTTCCAGGGTCCCCTCTTGTGCTCTCGGTGGATCACTTACGCCGCGCGATTTTCACAGCTCCGCGGGGCTCTTCGGGAGGACCGTCCGGTTGGGTCGCTGAGCACCTGCGAGACACTTTCTTAGCTTTCCCTCAGAGTCTCCATTTCCTCCTGGCCGTGTACCAGCAGTGGCTCCGAGGCCGTTGCGCTCCAGCTGCACGCTCCTTGCTAGCGTCTTCCACCCTCGTGGCTCTGGCGAAGTCGAACATGGATGTTCGGCCGATTGCCATCGGCGAGGTTTTGGTCCGCATTCTTTCTCGTGCAGTCTGTCTCCAGCTACGTGACCAGATGGCGAGGGTCTTCTTGGCGTCACAGCAGTTTGGGGTGGGGGTTATGTGCGGGACAGAGGTCGTAGTTAGAGGCGTCCGCCGCGCCCTGGCTGACCACCCAGACTGGGTGGTCCTGCAGCTAGACGTGGCGAATGCCTTTAACTCTTTCCACCGAGACAGGATGTTCCAGGCGCTGCAGGCCAGCCCGGAGTTTCAGTGTCTGATCCCCTTCATCGGCCTCTTCTACGGGACGCCCTCGGATCTCCACTACAGGTCAGGCACGGGAGTGGTCACGATGCACTCGGAGCGGGGCACTCGCCAGGGAGACCCTCTCAGCCCCTTCTTGTACGCTCTGACACAGCGTCTTGCTTTGGAGCCGGTTCTGGCGGAGGGGGATGTCCAGCTCTGGTCGTACGCCGATGACACGTACGTGCTAGGTCCCCCAGACAGGGTGCTGCACCACTTTGCCGAGATCGTGAGGCGCTTGGGCGAGATGGGCCTTGCAGCCCAGCCGCACAAGTGCCTCGTCTACCAGACGGAGTCCTTTCTGTCCAGGGATCTGGAGGCTTTCACGGGCCTAGGGATCGAGGTCGCACGCCGAGGGCTCACCGTGACAGGCGTACCGGTAGGCACCGTTTCGTTCGTGGAGCAGAGTCTCCCGGATCGTCTCGAGAGGATGGGGCGGGTGCTACCTTGGCTTCCGAGGTTGCGCCAGCCCCAGACAGCTGCCCGCCTTCCTTTCGGCGTGTGTCAGCACTCGTCCGCAGTACCTGTCGAGGACCGTCCCTCCTTCGCCCGCAGTGATCTCCAGTTTTACACGGTGGGACGCACGCCTGGGAGAGACATTTCAGCAGCTTTTAGCTTCAGGGACCTGGGCTTGTCGCGAGGACGTCCGAGAGGCCGCCCTAGACCAGATCTTCCTCCCATCCGTCTCGGGGGTTTCGGCATTCGTCGCATGGCGCGCATTGCCCCGGTGAGTTTCGTGTGCTCCTGGGTGCAGTGTGCACCCATTCTCTGTTCTCTCCCTGCGTGTGGCGAGGTGTTTCGGCAGAGCTTCGCTTCAGGTGAGCCAGAGCAGATCGACCGGGCTCTGCAGACGGCGCTAGAGGGTCTCCCACCTGACGTTCTCTCTCTCCTTCCCCCCTGGCCCTCTTGCGCTTCTGCCTCCCCCGATTCCCTTTTTGCAGGAGCGAGCCGTCTTCTGGAGGCGCATGCCTTGGAGGCCGTGCGTGCCCGTCACGCCTCTCCCTTGCACCTTGCCCGTTTGACTTCCCTTCAGGGCGGAGGTGCAGGGGCGTGGTTGACGTCGGTGCCGTACGCCGACCCACTGCGCATCCCGGAGGCGCTGTGGCAGGCGGCTTCATCTTCTCGTCTTGGTCTCCCTATCCCCCAGTTAGCCCTTGCAGGTCAGTGCTCCTGCGGACAGGCGATTGACGACATGACGGTGCCTCATCACGCGGTTCGGTGCCCGCGCTACGGGGTCGCCACTACCATCCACGACACGGTGAAGTACATGCTTCGAGACTTTGCGGTCGAGGCGGGCTTCGCGGTAAAGGTGGAGGACTCTACGCTGTTCACACAGTTGGAGGCGGCTCGAGCGAGACTACTGGGACAGCCAGTGGTGGGAGAGGGGACACGGGCTGAGGGACCGGGGGAGCGGAGAGGCGAGGCGGGACAGCCGGGTGGCGGGGGACAGGGGGACGGCACCAGCTGCGGGGTCAGGTGGAGCGAGGGACAGGTGGGCAGAGGGGACGGCAGGGGGAGCAGACGGGCCAGGACGGGGAGGGGGGACGGCACAGGCAGCAGCAGGAGAGCCAGTGGAGGCCGCGGGCCCAGGGCGCCGCGCCTCCAGGTTCGGCCTCGGGGGCGGGGCAGGGGCGGGAGCAGCAGAGAGCGGACGGAGGTACAGGAGGGGCAGCGGGATTGGGAGGGGAGGGCCAGGGAGTGAGAGAGGCAGCAGGGGATGGAGCAGGGGGGTCGGGAGGTTTGGGGGAGGGTAGAGAGGGGGAGGGGAGAGGACAGGTGGATGGAGGAGAGGAGAGGGGGAGAGAGACGATCGGAGAGGGGGCACCAAGGGACCAGACAGGGCAGCAGCCAGCGCAACAGCAGGGACCAGTCGGACGCACAGGCCGTGTAGGCACCGCCTCCCGCATTCCAGATCTCACCTGCCGCGACGTTGGCCAGGGTCTGATGGTTCTTGTGGATGTCTCCATAGCGGATCCACAGCGGGAGGGGAACGTGCAGCTGAGACGGGCGACCCCCACACAGATTGGAGTGGCAGCAGCTAGGCGGGTGCAGGAGAAGCTGCGTCACTGGGGGCCGCACTTAGAGGGGCTGCAGCCGGCACCACACTTTTACGCGTGCGTGGCGGAGACCTTTGGCCTTCTGAGTGAGCCGCTGCGTCAGTTTCTGGGGCTCTGCGCAAAGAGGATAGCACAGCGGAGGAGGGATAGAGGTGGGGGGGATGACGGATCGGCACGGATATTTGAGGCAGGACTCACTACACGCCTCTCCGTTGCACTGCAGCGCGCGCAGGCTCAATGCATGATCCAGCATGCGGTGCGGCAGTTAGGGAGGTCCGACGACGGGTGGATGCCCGCACCAGTCCCACTGGGTGCGGGGCAGGGAACTTGGCACCACGTCACAGGGTGCTTCGAGAGTGTGGCTGATATGCAGTATATATATGATGCATATGTGTAAAAAACAATAGTGGCTGTGCTTGAAACGCTGTGCCCGTGCGGTCGTGCGGGTTGCTGCCGTGTTTGGTCCTTTGGTGCTTCCTCCTCCTTAGTCTCTCTCCCTCTCTCCTCTTCTCTTCCCACCTCCCTCTTTCTGTTCCCTTCTTCTATCCTTCCCTTCTCTTCCTACCACCCTCTTCCTTTCCCTACCACTTCTTCTTACTCCTTCATCTTTCCTTCCTTTCCTTTCTTTCCCCCTTTTCCTACAAAATATATATACCGTCCTCATAGCGATTAGGCTATGTCGAAATTTCCTAGTCTTGGAAAAACCATTATATTCGGCTTGTATTTGCTCTTCCCTTATTAATGAATAACTGCTCTCGCCCACCGGCGCTTAGCTTCGGAGTTCTGATGGGATCCGGCGTAGTAGCCGAGGTATGATCGTACCACGTCAACCCCGTGCCCCGACCGGTACACACCCCTTGCCCGGGTCCCCCCTTCATAGTCACACCCCCTGCCCCCTCATGCCATCCGCTCCCCCCGCCCCTACCCTCCGCGTGCCCGCTCCCTTGCCGCCTCTTTTGACCCTCCCTGCCCCCCTCGCCGTTTCCCACCGCCCGCCATTCGCTCCTCCCCGCCCGTGCGCTCCCCTCGCTTACCTTCTCCTCCCCCCTCCCCTCCTCTGCTGCACGCCTCTTCCTTCCCCTCGCCGACCCACTCCACTCCCTGCCCCTCCTCAATCCGCACCCTGCCCCTCGTATCTCGCCCCCCCTATGCTTGGTTTCTCCCCTCCCTGCCCCTCGCCGCCTTTCTCCGCCCCCACCCTCCCCCCTCTCCCTGCCCCCCCACTCTCCCCCCCCTTGCCCTTGGCTTCCTACCTCCCTGCCCCACCTTTCCCCCCTCTGTGTGCTCAGCTTCTCCCCTCCCTGCCCCTCCCTCCTCCCCGCCCTGCCCCTCGTTTTCCGCCCCCCCACGCCCGGTTTCTCCCCTCCCCGCGCCTCCCTTTCTTTCTCCGTGCCTCTCCTTTGCTCCCTCCCTGCCCCCGCCTGCCCATGCCCCTGTCTTTGGCTTCTCCCCTCCCTGCCCCACGTTTCTTCCCTCCCTGCCCTCCCCCTCTGCCCCTCCCTTGTTTTCCCCTCACCCATTGCTTCCTCCCCTCCCTGCCCTTGTTTCCTACCATCCATGCCCCTCGTTTCCCCCCCTTTGTACGTTCAGCCTCTTCCCTCCCTGCCCTCCCTTCCTCCCCCCCTTGCCCTTTGCTCTCCCCTCGTTACGCTCCCTTCTCCCCATCCCTGCTGCCTCTTACACCATCAGCCCATCCCCACCACCAGCCCCCCTCCCACCCTTCTCTCCCCCCCTCCCTTTCCCTCTCTCTCTTTCTCACACACACACACGCACACTCCCCTCCCCACCCCCCACCCACATCCTCCCATTCTGCCCCTCCCTGCCCCTTTCCCACCCCCTCGCACGCCCCTCACCTCCCACCTCCGTGCAACTGGTTTCCCCCTATGGTGCCTCCCTTGCATCGCTCGCCCCTCTGCTCACCCTCTGCCCGCCCCTTTTCCAGTGCCCTCAGCTGGCCCAGCCCCTGCCCGTTGCTGCCCCTCCCCTTGCCCCCTCAACTCCCCCTGCCCCCCGTACACCCCAGTCCCATCCAACCGCCCCCACCCTCCCCCGGCTTGCCCGTTTCCGCTCTCCACCCCCTGCGACCGTGTGCGGCTTCCAACCAGCCCAACGGTGGTGCGCACATGGGCGTTTCTTCGCACGGGCAAGCCTCCCCGGGGGTCCCCCACCCCGCTGGGTCGTTGTTCGGGCAAAAAAACGGAAATAAAAAATCGGACGCGCTGAAATCGTCCTTTCTTTTTCCCGCTTGCCCCTCCCCCGGCACGTGCCGAGCAAGGGGCATAAATGGGTACAACACGAGGACTTACCGGGAGGTCACCCAGCCAGTACTGCTCTTTTCTATTCGAAGCGATTAGTCTGCTACCGAGTTTTTTCCCTCGGTTTCCCTCTCTCGAGTCACTGATCTTAGCTTCCGCCCGTGTTAGCACTCTTCCTTCCCTTTCGGTGCGCCCTTCTTTATCGTAACCCTAATGTCGAAGAGCCGCGCGTTTTCCAAGCACGCTTTCTCGTCGCCTAGTCATGTTTAGTCCAGTGCACTCTTTTTTCCCCGCCTGTCAATTCTATCCGTCGACGTAGACGGAACCGCGCACCTAGGGGGCGCTTACCGCCAGGGAAAGGCCAGCGCGGAGGGAGGCGAAATTGCTACGTTCGTAGCGATTAAGCAGCCCTCCCCTTGCGCGCCTCCCGAAGCGCGTTTTCTGCCTAGAGCGTTTTAGCCGCCCACGTTTGGCACAAGCCGCCCCACTCCCCTTTTGCTCACTCCCACCCTGCCGTGCCTCGTCGCGCACTCGTGCATGCCACCCACACGTCGTAATCTTACCCTCGTCGCCACCCACATATTCACCTTCCTGCTCACACCGCCCCTTTCCCCCTCACCCGCGCGCTTTAGCCTACCCCGCCACCTAACCTCTTTCCCTAACGGCGCTTAGCTAGCAGAGGCCGCCCTGTCTCTGGAAACCGTAGGAAATAATGGGAAAAAACTTCAAAAGAAAAAAAATATTCATATAAATCGGAAAAAAACCAGAAAAAAATCAGAAAGGCAGCTTACACTTTGTTCTCCCAACCCTCAGGGCCCCATCCCAGTCCGCCACCCCCCCCATTCTGTTTCATCATACTGCACCACACCATCACCTTTCGCCCACCAGCATTACCGCCCCCTCCCCTTATCCCCCACCACGACCCCCCAAGCAGGCTTTCTCCCCAGCCTCCCGTACTCCTGCCCTTAGTACCCGCCGCGCTCTGCCCGTGCGTCACCCTTGCCCACTTCATACCACATCCCCTTCTTCCCCCCCCCCGGCTTCTCCCTATCATCACCCGCATGTTCCCCCACTCCCCTGTCACCAACGTCCCTCTCCACCCCCCCTCCTCCCTTCCCCACTCCCACTCTGCCACCCACACCTCTACGAGCCGTACTTCCCCCTCCAGCCTCTCCTTTCCCCCCCAGCTACTTCCGCATCCAGCGGTGGGCTGCACCCTCTGCATCCCGCCCTGCCAGGCCCTTCGCTGACCCAACTGCCGCCACCTGCACCCCACGCCGCCTTTCCCACCCCCATCCAATCTCTACACCCCCTGCCCCTGCTCCCTGCGCATCCAGCCACCCTACCCCAGCCTCCCTCTACCTCTCCCAACTCCACACCGCCGTCCTACCCCCAGCCAAGGTCTACACCCTTGCTTTTGCTCCCTGGGCTGTGCCGTCCCCCAACCTCCTCCTCGCCTTTCCGCGGCACCAGACCGCCTCTCCCTCCCCAACCAACCTTTGCAACCCCTGTTCCTGCCCCTTGTGCCCTCCAACACCCTACCACAACCCCCCCAGTCTCCCCTTCTCCAACTACCCTCCATATTTCCTCCCCCCTGGGCTCGCCCATCCGCAGTTATCACCCTTCATCGTTTCCCCAATTCCCTCTGTCCCCTGTTCTTCCCGGCCCCAGCATCCTATTCTGCATTTACCACAGCGCCTCCTTTCGGTGCCCTCTCTGCCCTCCCACGTTCTCACCCCCCGCCTCCAACCTTCTCATTACCCGCTACCAGGCTCACGCCAACTCGACTACCCACTACCCTTTGCCCCTTCCTCTCTGTTCCCCACCCTTCCTTTCCCACTTGGCTCCACCTGCCCACCCCCACCTCCCGTGGATTCTGCCCTGCCCTCCCCACCTCCGGCCCACCACCTGTCCCCACACCCTGCTCACCCACCGCTACATCACCCCCGCCCCCCCCACCTCCACTACAGCCCGCCAACACTTCCCCTCTCAACCGGCCCCCAGCCCGCCCCCCCCCTTGGGCCCCAATCCCCTCCAACTGTCAGGCCCCCCTCTACCCTCTCTTCCACCCACTGCGCACCGCTTTCCCCACCTTTTTCCCCTTTCCCAAGCTAACCCCCCGCACACCCGGCCTCTGCCAGGGAGTTCCTTCCCCCTTTGACGCCCCTCTTGAGCCCAACTCCAGCAACTCACACCGCCACCGCCAGGCAGCTGCCTCTGTAACAATGCCCCAGCACCCCGCGAGTGGGGGAAAGGCAGACCCGGGAGCCCCTCGGCGATCTGGAGGTCCCGCAGCCGAGCCACCCCTACTCTCCCACTCCCCCCACTTCAACAGTCAGGAAGAAACAACACTACACCTGACCAAGCGAACAACTCAACACAATCTGAACCTAGGGGCCAGAAGCGTACCTTGAAGGGAGGAACAGAGGAACGCCAAGCCCCACTGGAGGAAATACACCGAGGAGTAGCCAGCACGCTCAAAACCGCGCCCTACCCCGCTGCCCCATCCCAGCCTACCCCCCTTCAGGTGACAGCGGGGGCGGCACCATGCATTGCTCAGTGGAGAGATCCTCCAAACTCACTCGCTACGCCCAATCGTCTCCCCTATCGCAAACCGTACTTACTTGTGAAAAACACTTAATCCATACCTCGCCACCCCCAAAGCAACATAGAAGCGGGACGGGGGCAGAGTCCAGGGGGGAACTTGCAGGCTAACACTAGCACGAGGAAGGGGTAAGTGAAGTTTGGTGTGTGAAGGAGCAGCAGAGGCATGCAGAAGGATGGGGCAGCAAAAGGCTGCACGGGAAGGGGCAATGGGGGTGTGGGAAGGGGGGAAGGGGCAGGCAGAGGCCTGCAGAGGACAAGGGCAGCAGAGGCCTGCAAGGGAAGGTGCAGCAGCGGCCTGCACGGGAAAGGGCTGGCAGAGGGCTGCACGGACGGAAGGGGCGGGCAGGGACCATGACTCCTGGCCAGGCAAAGGGGCAGAGGCCAGTGGAGACAGGTTGATGGCAGGAGTAGGGCCACGGAACCTGGCTGCTGTGTCGGCTGGGGGAACCGCAGCCAGGAGGAGGCTATAGGGGACCGCACTACAGGTGAGGCCCGCAGCAGACACAGGCAGGTGTGGCTGCAGGGATCACAAAACGGGTGAGGGCTGCATGAGGGAGCGCGGGATGGCAGTAGGTGAGGCCGCAGGGAGCGCAGTAGGTGAGGCTGCAGGGAGCGCAGCAGGTGAGGCTGTAGGGGGCGCAGCAGGTGAGGCTGCAGGAGAGCGCAAGCAGGTGAGGCCGCAGGGAGCGCAGCAGGCGGGACTGCAGGGGCCGCAGCAGGTGAGACTGCGGCGGCCACGCAGCAGGTGAGGCTGCGAGGCTGCATCATGTAAGGTTGGGCAGACTCTAGCAGGTGAGGCTGCACAGTCTACAGCTGGTGAGGTCGCAGGGACTGCAACAGGTGAGGCCGCAGGGACTGCAGCAGGTGAGGCGGCATGGACCACAGCGGATGAGGGCTGCAGGCGGGACCATGGCAGGTGAGGCGCAGGGAGCGCAGCAGGTGAGGCTGAAATAGCCGCAGCAGGTGAGGCTGCAGAGGCCGCAGCATGTGAGGTTGAGCAGATTCTAGCAGGTGAGGCTGCACAGACTGCAGCAGGTGAGGCCGCAGGGACTGCAGGCGGGTGAGGCTGCAGGGACTGCAGCACGTGAGCCTGCAGGGACCGCGGCAGGCAAGGCTGCAGGGATCGCGGCTGGTGAGGCTGAGCAGATTACGGTAGGCGATGGTTTTACAGACTGCAGCAGTCCGAGGCTGCAAGGACTGCAGCAGGCAGCGACAGAGGCCACAGTGGGGCTGGTATAGGGGAGGTGCTACGGGTGCAGCGGGGAAGGGGGTAACGGGGACTGGTGCGAGGGAGAGTGCCGCCCCGGCTGTAGCAAGAAGAGGGTACGGCAGGGGCTAGAGTGGGAGAGGGGACAGCAGTGGCCTCAAAGGCAGAAGGTGAGGCTGCAGCTGAAGCAGCAGGGAGGGCCATAGCACGGCCAGTAGGGGCGGCAGGGGCCGCATCAAACGCGGGGAAACACACAGCAGGGCCGGCAGGGGCCGGCAAGGACTGCAAAAGGGGCTAGCAGTAAAGCGGCAGCAGGCGGGTGGGCTCGGGGGACATAGGGGCAACAGGGGAAGGAGAGGTGAGTGTGGTCCCGACCGGGGTGGGCACTGAAGAGGGGGATGTGATAGCGATAGAGGAGGATGAGGGAGAGGATGTGATGCACATTGACGGGCCACTGGCCCAATACCTCACGCTTGACGGTGAAGGCCGACCCGGCCCCCCTGCAGCCTCACGTCGAGGTTCCCCCTCTACCCCCCATGCCCGTCCCCCATGCTAGCAGAAGGACCGATGGAGGGGCTGGGGGAGACCTTGAGGACAGAGCCGCGCGAGGGAGCCCCCATCCTCACCTCCCGTCCTCCAGCCCACCCACCCCCAGGAGCACCACTTCCCCACCCCCACCCTCAGGTCCCGGTAGTGTCCAGGGGGGGCAGCCAAGGCCCTGGCCTTCTTGGCGGAGCCAGTGCTCCCCGACCCCCACGGTGCTCCATGGCCAGCCCCCCTCTCCGTCCCCAACGCCTGACCCCACGGTTGCAGGCGGTTCCACCGGGAGAGCACGCGGGGTGCGACAAGAGCAGAGCCACCCGAGGGCACCCCTTCTCTCACCCCTCACCCCCTCCCCGCCCCTTCCCTCACTCCTTCCTTCACCCCCAAGGGCAGCACACCTCTGCCCCCACCCTCAGGGGCTCCTTAGAGCACCACGTGGAGCAGCCAGGGCTCTGGTCTTCCTAGAGGAGCCATGCTCCCCGACTCCTACCAACACCCAGCCACCCCCTACCGGCCCACTACCCCCTCCTCCACCAGGCCCCCCCCCCACCCGGTAGTACACACATCTCGGAGGTTGAAGCATCTCTGCGGCCAAATCCCTCTCCCACCCGCTACAGGCACCCAAAACCACCCGAGTCGCCGCACAGCCCCAACACGCCCACCCAACTAGGCTGCCCTCCCCACACCACCCCCCCCCAGGCAGCCTGAGACCCACCCGCAAGGGCTTGCGCCCCAGGCTCATGGGAGCGGCGGCACCCGGGTAGAGGGGCCCACAGGAGAGGCCACCACAGGGCCCACACAAATCTCTCTCCCCCCACCGTTTGTACCTCGCTCTAAACCTCCACACTGGCCCAGCCCCCTCGACCCCCACCTCCAACCCCCTCTCCCGGCCGGGTTCCCACGAGTGGCCCCGTTGGGCATGCCATCACCCCCCACACACAGCTTGCCCGATCTGTTCCCACGGAGGGGGATTGTTTCGAGGAGAGAGGGGATGCAACAGAGCACCCCACCGCCTGGCGAACCACCCATCCTCCCTCCACCCACCCCTTTGGCCCCACAGCCCCCCCTTCCTTCCACAAACAGGCGCGGACAACCAGGTTGGCCGCCGGCGGAAGAACAGGGGCAGAGGGTCAGCCCACGTACTCCCCCCTCCCTCCCTCCCCCACCAAGAGCCCCTCCCTACCTCACATCCCGTGAACCCTTACCAGGCCCTACCTCTACAGCCCGACCACCAAACCTACACTCCCGCCCCGCTCCTGCACCTCCACAGGGCCATGGGAGCGGTCCAGCCCACTCACCCCCATTCTGCCCCTCCCTGTGCTGTGTCCCCCTCCCAGGTGGCGGCGGCCTCGATCGCTACTGGGAGGGAGGCCGTCGGGTTGAGGGATGCGCCATGGCAGACGCCACCGACTCCCCCTCCCATCCCTCCCACCCCTTCCATGTCGACGACCCCCTACCGCAACCCATGGTGATTGGGGAGGGCCAAGGGGGCCTTCTAGGGCAGGGTCCACACCCGAGCTCCGCTCAGCCAGCACGCCCCACTCCCACCCTCTACCCTGCCAGCCCTCCTACTCTCACCTACAGGCAGGCAGGTCTTCGAGACCCCAGAGGAGGTGAGGGCTGGCATTTCAGATTTGCTGGCGATACACCGCCTGAGCACGCTCTCCGGCTGCCCCCACCCTTCCAGTCCCACAGGACCGGACCCGGACGTATGCGGAGGTCACCCGGTCTGTCCCTTCTTTATCCCCCCCGCCACTCAGCCAGGCGCGTCACTCCCGACCCCAATGGAGACGGACCGGGTTCTGAGGCCGTGTCACTCGCACCTAGACGGGGTGGCGCCTCCCCCCGTTCAGCCCGTGGCGCAGGAGGTCACCAGCAGTAGGGATGAGGCATCCGCCCCTACCGAGACCCCTCCGCCTGGGGTAGCAGAGCCGTCACTTGAACCGCACCCCGCCGAGGGGCAGGAGCACACCACGGCACACACTTCAGGCTCACCTCCACGTCCCCCCTCCCCAGCTTCACACCGGTACCGGCACGAGGCCCGGCCCTATCCTGTGCGACACCACCTCTATCTTCGCTGACACCCCCCCGCGCGGGGCTGGTGAGTCGTCTCCTCCCCTCATCCCAGGCGATCCTCTCGGAGCTCAGGCCGCCCACGGGTCCCCTCTACAGCCAGTTCCGACGCCACGGCCCCGATTGACCCCGCCGACACGGCGACATCACCCGGACCAGGTCGTGAGTTGCCCACCTGCAGGAGCTCTCTCGCGAACCGACGCGCGCTCCAGCACCACATTCCCTTCTGCCATCCTGCGGACGCGGCTCGCAGGGCGCAGGCTGCCCATGATACCGCCTCGATCATCCCTTCCCTCTCACAGCCCCGTGCGACCGGGATGCAGTTCACCGACGCACAGTGGCAGACGCTCGACTCGGTGGACTGGACAGAGTACTTCTCGCCCGAGCGTATCCATACACGCCCTCTCTCCGACGTGTCCCGGAGAGGGTCCGCGGAGGATATCTTGACGTCCTCAGTGCGATCCTAGTCCGCATTGCCCAGGACCCGGAGGCTGCTGGCCCTACCTTCCTCCTCGCTGCAGCGCCGACTCTTTTCCTTGTCCAGCGACGCCACCCGACCGCTCGCACACACGGCTGCCATTGCAACGCGCATCTCTCGCTTTGGTCGAGGTGAGTGGGCTGAGCTAGTCTCAGATGCACTAGGCCGTCGCACACCCCTTCCTCGCCGCACAGGTCACCGGTCACGCACCGCCACCGATCCCTCTGCAGCAGATGAGCGCCGCATTGCACGTTGCCTTCGTCTGGCAGCGTGCAATGAGACCTCACGGGCGTGCGCGGCTCTCGAGTCCGCGGAGGCAGCCCCAGATACACAGGGGACGATACAGCGCCTGCAGTCGAAGCACCCCAACGCGGAGAGGCCGACCCCAGCTTGGCTGTCTGGCTTCCAGGGGTCCCCTCTCGTGCTCTCGGTGGATCACTTACGCCGCGCGATTTTCACAGCTCCGCGGGGCTCTTCGGGAGGACCGTCCGGTTGGGTCGCTGAGCACCTGCGAGACACTTTCCTAGCTTTCCCTCAGAGTCTCCATTTCCTCCTGGCCGTGTACCAGCAGTGGCTCCGAGGCCGTTGCGCTCCAGCTGCGCGCTCCTTGCTAGCGTCTTCCACCCTCGTGGCTCTGGCGAAGTCGAACATGGATGTTCGGCCGATTGCCATCGGCGAGGTTTTGGTCCGCATTCTTTCTCGGGCAGTTGTCTCCAGCTACGTGACCAGATGGCGAGGGTCTTCTTGGCGTCACAGCAGTTTGGGGTGGGGGTTACGTGCGGGACAGAGGTCGTAGTTAGAGGCGTCCGCCGCGCTCTGGCTGACCACCCAGACTGGGTGGTCCTGCAGCTAGACGTGGCGAATGCCTTTAACTCTTTCCACCGAGACAGGATGTTTCAGGCGCTGCAGGCCAGCCCGGAGTTTCAGTGTCTGATCCCCTTCATCGGCCTCTTCTACGGGACGCCCTCGGATCTCCACTACAGGTCAGGCACGGGAGTGGTCACGATGCACTCGGAGCGGGGCACTCGCCAGGGAGACCCTCTCAGCCCCTTCTTGTACGCTCTGACACAGCGTCTTGCTTTGGAGCCGGTTCTGGCGGAGGGGGATGTCCAGCTCTGGTCGTACGCCGATGACACGTACGTGCTAGGTCCCCCAGACAGGGCTGCACCATTTTGCCGAGATCGTGAGGCGCTTGGGCGAGATGGGCCTTGCAGCCCAGCCGCACAAGTGCCTCGTCTACCAGACAGAGTCCTTTCTGTCCAGGGATCTGGAGGCTTTCACGGGCCTAGGGATCGAGGTCGCACGCCGAGGGCTCACCGTGACAGGCGTACCGGTAGGCACCGTTTCGTTCGTGGAGCAGAGTCTCCCGGATCGTCTCGAGAGGATGGGGCGGGTGCTACCTTGGCTTCGAGGTTGCGCCAGCCCCAGACAGCTGCCCGCCTTCTTTCGGCGTGTGTCAGCACTCGTCCGCAGTACCTGTCGAGGACCGTCCCTCCTTCGCCCGCAGTGATCTCCAGTTTTACACGGTGGGACGCACGCCTGGAGAGACTTTTCAGCAGCTTTTAGCTTCAGGGACCTGGCTTGTCGCGAGGACGTCCGAGAGGCCGCCCTAGACCAGATCTTCCTCCCCATCCGTCTCGGGGTTTCGGCATTCGTCGCATGGCGCGCATTGCCCCGGTGAGTTTCGTGTGCTCCTGGGTGCAGTGTGCACCCATTCTCTGTTCTCTCCCTGCGTGTGGCGAGGTGTTTCGGCAGAGCTTCGCTTCAGGTGAGCCAGAGCAGATCGACCGGGCTCTGCAGACGGCGCTAGAGGGTCTCCCACCTGACGTTCTCTCTCTCCTTCCCCCCTGGCCCTCTTGCGCTTCTGCCTCCCCCGATTCCCTTTTTGCAGGAGCGAGCCGTCTTCTGGAGGCGCATGCCTTGGAGGCCGTGCGTGCCCGTCACACCTCTCCCTTGCACCTTGCCCGTTTGACTTCCCTTCAGGGCGGAGTGCAGGGGCGTGGTTGACGTCGGTGCCGTACGCCGACCCACTGCGCATCCCGGAGGCGCTGTGGCAGGCGGCTTCATCTTCTCGTCTTGGTCTCCCTATCCCCCAGTTAGCCCTTGCAGGTCAGTGCTCCTGCGGACAGGCGATTGACGACATGACGGTGCCTCATCACGCGGTTCGGTGCCCGCGTTACGGGGTCGCCACTACCATCCACGACACGGTGAAGTACATGCTTCGAGACTTTGCGGTCGAGGCGGGCTTCGCGGTAAAGGTGGAGGACTCTACGCTGTTCACACAGTTGGAGGCGGCTCGAGCGAGACTACTGGGACAGCCAGTGGTGGAGAGGGGACACGGGCTGAGGGACCGGGGGAGCGGAGAGGCGAGGCGGGACAGCCGGGTGGCGGGGGACAGTGGGGACGGCACCAGCTGCGGGGTCAGGTGGAGCGAGGGACAGGTGGGCAGAGGGGACGGCAGGGGGAGCAGACGGGCCAGGACGGGGAGGGGGGACGGCACAGGCAGCAGCAGGAGAGCCAGTGGAGGCCGCGGCCCAGGGCGCCGCGCCTCCAGGTTCGGCCTCGGGGGCGGGGCAGGGGCGGGAGCAGCAGAGAGCGGACGGAGGTACAGGAGGGGCAGCGGGATTGGGAGGGGAGGGCCAGGGAGTGAGAGAGGCAGCAGGGGATGGAGCAGGGGGTCGGGAGGTTTGGGGGAGGGTAGGGAGGGGGAGGGGAGAGGACAGTGGATGGAGGAGAGGAGAGGGGGAGAGAGACGATCGGAGAGGGGGGCACCAAGGGACCAGACAGGGCAGCAGCCAGCGCAACAGCAGGGACCAGTCGGACGCACAGGCCGTGTAGGCACCGCCTCCCGCATTCCAGACCTCACCTGCCGCGACGTTGGCCAGGGTCTGATGGTTCTTGTGGATGTCTCCATAGCGGATCCACAGCGGGAGGGGAACGTGCAGCTGAGACGGCGCGACCCCCACACAGATTGGAGTGGCAGCAGCTAGGCGGGTGCAGGAGAAGCTGCGTCACTGGGGGCCGCACTTAGAGGGCTGCAGCCGGCACCACACTTTTACGCGTGCGTGGCGGAGACCTTTGGCCTTCTGAGTGAGCCGCTGCGTCAGTTTCTGGGGCTCTGCGCAAAGAGGATAGCACAGCGGAGGAGGGATAGAGGTGGGGGGGATGACGGATCGGCACGGATATTTGAGGCAGGACTCACTACACGCCTCTCCGTTGCACTGCAGCGCGCGCAGGCTCAATGCATGATCCAGCATGCGGTGCGGCAGTTAGGGAGGTCCGACGACGGGTGGATGCCCGCACCAGTCCCACTGGGTGCGGGGCAGGGAACTTGGCACCACGTCACAGGGTGCTTCGAGAGTGTGGCTGATATGCAGTATATATATGATGCATATGTGTAAAAAACAATAGTGGCTGTGCTTGAAACGCTGTGCCCGTGCGGTCGTGCGGGTTGCTGCCGTGTTTGGTCCTTTGGTGCTTCCTTCTCCTTAGTCTCTCTCTCTCTCTCCTCTTCTCTTCCCACCTCCTCTTTCTGTTCCCTTCTTCTATCCTTCCCTTCTCTTCCTACCACCCTCTTCCTTTCCCTACCACTTCTTCTTACTCCTTCATCTTTCCTTCCTTTCCTTTCTTTCCCCCTTTTCCTACAAAAATATAAATCGTCCTCATAGCGCTTAGGCTATGTCGAAATTTCCTAGTCTTGGAAAAAACATTATATTCGGCTTGTATTTGCTCTTCCCTATTAATGAATAACTGCTCTCGCCCACCGGCGCTTAGCTTCGGAGTTCTGATGGGATCCGGCGTAGTAGCCGAGGTATGATCGTACCACGTCAACCTCGTGCCCCGACCGCTACACACCCCTTGCCGGGTCCCCCCTTCATAGTCACACCCCCTGCCCCCTCATGCCATCCGCTCCCCCGCCCCTACCCTCCGCGTGCCCGCTCCCTTGCCGCCTCTTTTGACCCTCCCTGCCCCCCCTCGCCGTTTCCCACCGCCCGCCATTCGCTCCTCCCCGCCCGTGCGCTCCCCTCCTTTACCTTCTCCTCCCCCTCCCCTCCTCTGCTGCACGCCTCTTCCTTCCCCTCGCCGACCCACTCCACTCCCTGCCCCTCCTCAATCCGCACCCTGCCCCTCGTATCTCGCCCCCCTATGCTTGGTTTCTCCCCTCCCTGCCCTCGCCGCCTTTCCCGCTCCCCACCTCCCCCCTCTCCCTGCCCCCCCACTCTCCCCCCCCCCTTGTCCTTGGCTTCCTACCTCCCTGCCTCACCTTTCCCCCCTCTGTGGCTCAGCTTCTCCCCTCCCTGCCCCTCCCTCCTCCCCGCCCTGCCCCTCATTTTCCGCCCCCCCCCACGCCCGGTTTCTCCCCTCCCCGCGCCTCCCTTTCTTTCTCCGTGCCTCTCCTTTGCTCCCTCCCTGCCCCCGCCTGCCCATGCCCCTGTCTTTGGCTTCTCCCCTCCCTGCCCCACGTTTCTTCCCTCCCTGCCCCCCGTCTGCCCCTCCCTGTTTTCCCCTCACCCATTGCTTCTCTCCTCCCTGCCCTTGATTTCCCACACCCCTGCCCTCGTTTCCTATCATCCATGCCCCTCGTTTCCCCCCTTGTACGTTCAGCCTCTTCCCTCCCTGCCCCTCCCTTCCTCCCCCCCTGCCCTTTGCTCTCCCCTCGTTACGCTCCCTTCTCCCCATCCCTGCTGCCCTCTTACCACCATCAGCCCATCCCCACGACCAGCCCCCCTCCCACCCTCAATCCCCCCCTCCCTCTCTCTCCTCTCTCTCTCTCTCTCTCTCTCTCTTTCTCACACACACACACACACGCACACTCCCCTCCCCCACCCCCCCCCACCTACATCCTCCCATTCTGCCCCTCCCTGCCCCTTTCCCACCCCCTCGCACGCCCCTCACCTCCCACCTCCGTGCAACTGGTTTCCCCCCTATGGTGCCACCCTTGCATCGCTCGCCCCTCTGCTCACCCTCTGCCCGCCCCTTTTCCGTGCCCTCAGTTGGCCCAGCCCCTGCCCGTTGCTGCCCCTCCCCTTGCCCCCTCAACTCCCCTGCCCCCCGTACACCCCAGTCCCATCCAACCGCCCCCACCCTCCCCCGGCTGCCCGTTTCCGCTCTCCACCCCCGCGACCCGTGTGCGGCTTCCAACCGCCCAACGGTGGTGCGCACGGGGCGTTTCTTCGCGGGCAAGCCTCCCCGGGGGCCCCCACCCGCTGGGTCGTTGTTTGGGGCAAAAAAACGAAAGAAAAGAATCGGACGCGCTAAATCGTCCTTTCTTTTTCCCGCTTGCCCCTCCCCGGCACGTGCCGAGCAAGGGGCATAAATGGGTACAACACGAGGACTTCCCGGGAGGTCACCCAGCCCAGTACTGCTCTCGCCCCCGGCGCTTAGCTTCGGAGTTCTGATGGGATCCGGCGTAGTAGCCGGAGGATGATCGTACCACGTCAACCTCGTGCCCCGACCGCTACACACCCCTTGCCCGGGTCCCCCCCTTCATAGTC